GAACGTTTTGGAGTGTCTATAAGCGTGTGGATGTACTACGAGTGAGTGCGATGGCCTCACTTGCGGTACGGTCGTTAGTGCGACTGCACAAAACCTTAGTGTACCAAACGGTTACACTTCGGAGCAAAGTTCCGGCGGCTGTGAGGAAACACAGGCTGCGCCGAAGGTCCACCACTCGAATAAGTCGGGTGGACAGGGACAAAGATGTATCCCTAGTGGGGAACATCTGGAAGAGAAACAATATATCGCTCAGGTTAAGCGAAACGATAATCCTAGATCGACTGGAGAGTCTTTCGTAGAGGATCTCGCTGTGGTTGCACAACCCCAGCTAGAGGAAGTAAAGGGAATAAGTCCCAAGATTACAGATACGGTGGAAATGAGTTCCCCAAAAAACCCGCGGGACTAAGTCCCCGGGAAGCGGAAGGAATAAGGCCTTCGAGGCCTGAGGGAATAAGTCCCCAGGAAATGACAGAGACATTGAATGTCATAGTCAATGACGGATCAAGTGTAGGCGCTTATACACTTGATCTGATTGCGCCTCCGAAGTTGACTTCGGAGATCACTCAGTTGCCAACGCTCGAACATAAAAGGTTCTTGCGTGATCTGCGTAGTGGCAAAGTCAAGCAGATCTGCGTACTCGTTGCTGACGACGCGTGTGTAGCCGACATAAGGTCCGCAACAGTGTTTACTGAGAAAGAGAGAGTTCTCAGTGGTTCATCTATGGACGAGAGTGTCCTAGATGAAAAGACACGAGTTGAGCGATATGACTCCCAATCGTGGGAATCGCTCAAGACAAATCCTCTCTATGAAGATTTGGTTGAATTCAAGGACGTATTCCCTAAAACTGTTCCGTGCGAATTACCGAAGGATAAAGGTATTCGACACGAGGTCGAGCTTAAACCAGGCTCGAAGTACTGTGTCATGAAGCAGTGGGCACTGCCTCGTGAACAAGTACTTGCGATCGACAAGTTCTTTGCCGATCGTTTAGCTGCGGGCCATGTGAGGGAATCAGCTTCCCCACATAGCTCTCCGACCTTCTGTGTGCGAAAAGCAACAGGAGGGTGGCGGATAGTGCACGCGTTCAACAAATTGAACGCTGCAACGGTACCGGCTCAGACGCCGATACCAAGGAAGGACGTAATCATTGATGGTATGTCAAAGAGTACCATCTTTTCGTCCATGGATTTAATGGATGGCTTCTATCAAATCCTTATGCGAGAACGGGATATACCCTATACTGCAGTTAGCACGCCTAGCGGCATGCTCTGGGAATGGCTAGTAATGCCACAAGGGCTTAGTAATGCCCCTGCCACGTTCAACAGATGTGATACACATCTGTTGAGACCAGTGCGAGAATTCGCGCCGAGTTATTTCGATGACGTATTCATCCATAGTCGAGCTATGGATGGAAAGTCGGACGTTGAGGTTCACAGGTACCACGTCCGACAAGTTCTTACAATCATGCGAAAGCATCAATCGTATGCAAACCTCAAGAAGTGTATATTTGCAGCAAGCGAAATACCACTTCTTGGGTGCATCGTTGGTAAGAACGGTGTACGTCCTGATCCCGAAAAGATCAAGGCGATCACCGACTGGCCTGTGCCGGTTGATGTCAAAGGTCTTCGAAAATTCCTTGGGCTAGCGGCGTATTTGCATAAGTATTCACGCAATTACGCCGAGATGACTGTGCACCTCTCTCGTTTGTTGAAAAAGAACGAGAGGTGGTTATGGAACGCTGAATGTCAGCGCTCCTTTGATGGTATCAAGCAGAGCTTGATACAATCCCCAGTCCTAGCAATAGCCGATCAGGACAGGCCATTTCATGTGGTCTGTGATGCCAGCGATTTCGCAATCGGCTGTGCATTAATGCAGTACGATCTTGAAGGCGTTGAACGCGTCGTCTGCTATCAGTCGCGTCAGCTACAACCAGCTGAGCGGAACTATCCAGTGCATGACAAGGAACTCCTTGCCATGAAGTATGCACTCGCGAAGTTCAGAGGCTATCTATTAGGAGATAGACCCTTCGTTGTTTACACTGACCATGCGTCATTACGCACGGCAGTGAACAGCCCGCACCTTTCACAACGAATGGCGCGGTGGTTGTCATTCTTTGCGGAATACAACTTTACGGTCGAGTACAAACCAGGACGACTTAATGTCGTCGCTAATGCACTCTCACGTCGTCCCGACTTTGAACCAGTCGCGAAACCCAACAGTGAGACAGTCACTGTTGCGGTTATGACGTCCTCAGTCCCATCTACAACGTTGTATGATGATGTGAGGCGGGCATACGCCTAAGATGGTGAGATAGTGAAGTTGTTGACACATCTCTCCCAACCATCTCGAGAATCGTTGAAACGACTGTCGTCTGCGTATCGATCTGCATCCGATCGATATACTACTCGCAACCGAGTACTGTACTATACAGCCGTTTCTGGTGACACACCACGTGTTGTCATTCCAGATGATACTGATCTGCGTTTGCGGATCATGTTCGAGTATCACGATGCTCCTATAGGAGGACATCGTGGCCGAGAGAAAACATATCTCACGGTGAGTCGAGACTTTTACTGGCCCCGCCAGTATCAGTTTGTGCGAAAGTATGTTCGCGCATGCGAAGTCTGCCAACGAGTGAAGTAAAGTCCTTCACTGCGTGCACCTTTACAGCCTCTACCGGTTCTGGCTGAGTGTTGGGAATCCATATCGATGGATTTCGGCTTCGGGTTACCCAAAGACGCACGCGGGAATACGGGTATTCTCGTATTTGTTGACAGATTCAGAAAAATGGTACACCTTATGGCTGTACCAGAGTCAATCACGGCAAGTAAATGTGCTTGTGTCTTTATTGACACCATCTTCCGACTTCATGGGTTGCCCCGTGAACTCGTATCAGACAGAGATCCACGATTCACTGCTGATTTCTGGCGTTCGGTGTTCAAATCACTCGGAACTCGCCTGAAGATGTCGACATCTGATCATCCAGAGTCAGATGGTCAGACGGAACGTGCCAATCGTGTCCTTGAAGAGATACTTCGAGGATACATACACTCCTTTAAGAGTCGGAATGAGTTCTTGCCAACGGTAGAGTTTGCCATTAACAACTCGGTGCATGCGTCCACGACACATACACCGTTTTACGTGAATGGCTTGCGCCATCCGCGTGTTCCCACCTTACTACAGTGTGACTCTGGTTTAAGGGGGGAGGAACTCGCGCAAGCAAAAACCAATCTGGCTCACGCTCATCACGCTCTGACGAAGAGGTCATTGTGTTTGATGCCGATATCGATAACATCGATATCGAAGAAGATGATGCCAGTGAGAGTGCGGAAGCCCTCACTGAAGAAAAGGTTGATGTTGCTGCAGTGCGCTCACAGCACACTGAAGCTAACGAGTCATCAGATGAGTTCATACTGGCTCGTGAAACGGTAGTCCGTTTTGTGCAAGACTCCATCGCCGAAGCGGTGGATAAGCAAAAGCAAAACGCTGACAAGAATGGAAGGGCAAACACTCTTTTATTTAATAAAGGTGACTTAGTCCCACCTTTTACGGTTAATCTACCCAAGCATGTAGTGACTAACTTGGGTAGCAGTAAACTACTACCCAAGTACATCGGCCCATTTCGTGTATTGCACCGCCTAGGCAATGCATACACGATCGAGTTGCCACGTAAGATGCGAACGCATCCCACGTTTTACGCTGGTCGGCTTAAGCCGTACCATCAGTACGCTGCTTCTTCCGATGAAGAACTCCCTTGCGCTCAAGCATCTCACAGAGAGCCTTGTGCTCCCGATGGTGGGCATCAACAAGGGTCTAAAGAGCAGTTATCTCAGCCCGAGACCGATCAACATTCCCACGAGCTACCCTTAGCTCGTCACGAAGAGATGTCAGAGATCTCTCGTTCTCAAGCTGAGCAAGGGCAAACTCAGCTCGATGCTTCAAGACAGTGTCCGCCATTTGGAGACGCCTATTCCGCTCATGTTCGAGATCGTCGCGCGACCCTTGCGTTACGCGATCAAAGAGGCTCTCGGGGATACACGCTTCCCCACAATAGTTTGGAGAGCGTTTTCCCTCCTCCTCCACCTCCATTAGAGGACTCTCGCGTTGGCCAGCGCTATCTAGTTGAGCAGCTGTTGAACCACCGCGACGTGAACGGACGTCGGACGAGTTATCTCGTCCGGTGGCGCGGCTATCACCCGTCCTGGGATACTTGGGAGCCCCGCTCCCAACTGATGATCGACGTACTGGGTCTGGTTGAGCAGTGCAACGCGGCACATCTTGTGCCGCAGAAGGACCGCCGGAGAAAGTCTTCCCGGCTCGGTCATGAATGGATTTTAAGTTGTCAATCCCTTCGTACATCTCAATAGAGATACGTACGCGCCACCACGGGCTGGTAAGGAGGTAAACCTCCTTAGGTGCTCGTGCAGAGTTGTTCACACAACATGGGCACGAGTCTCCCCAAGAGAGGCAGGGTAATCCTTTCTCCATTGACAGACGATGCAGCTTGTAGCGTGAACCTGTCGGGGTTCGCTTTTCAAACTTATCACGATCTTGATAAGTTTGTCGTTCCAAACGTCACGACCTACATCCTCAAGGTTGTGGATGTAGGCGTTCCACGCTTGAAGTAGTGAGGGACCATCACGTTTGTGATTCCCACTGTACCATCGATGTCTAAAGAAAGCATCGATGTAGAATTCATTCTCAGCGCGATAGTTTTTCGCGCTGGGGTCAAGGTGATGGATCCTTGACGAATCGAACAACCTTGTTCGATAACGATTACTCGTCGTCGCCGAAAAGTGATCCATGACGGATTTTGGAGGCATCCATGCCTTCTTCTCAGGAGCGAGACGCAAGACATTGCGGTCCCGCTCTTCCTGCGATGTGCCGACAGAAGGACTGGCACCTCGTTGCGAAGTGGTGTTTATAGGAGAACCGAAACCACTGTTAGCGCCCGAGTCTCGCGACCTCGAGCGCCTTCGCTTCGGCGATGGTTCATCTGATTCTTAAAATGAACCAAAGATGCTGCGACGCAAAGCATCGTCCATGCCACGCTTGGCAGGCGGCTTGGATTCAATTGCCGTCGATACGGATCCGTCTTCCGTATCAGGAGAGTACGAGACACCGAGCTCATACTCTGTGAAGACATGAGTGTCTTCATGACCAGCGCCTGCATCACCAAGTGACACAGGCTGGGTCGCTTCAGCAATCGATGAGACATCAGTTGCTGTGGTTTCTGCTTCGGCGTCCGCACAGAGACGTGCGGACGCGCTCTCGGCGGCCTTGCTCGCGCATCGCATGGGCTTGTTTACCATGCGATGAGATGTTGGAAAGTGGACGCGGACCAACAAGTGCAAACCCCGTCCCAAATGATTTGGGACGAGTATCCATTTAGTCAATCAGTCACTAAAGTGACTGATGGTTAAGGGGGGGTGATGTAACGGGGTGAATCGTTACATAACAATTTAAAAGAAATTGTTGATAGAATATAACTATAAGAGTTCTATTGTCAGAATATTTTCATAAGGACAAATATTCTGTAGCACTTACGAGTAGTTCCTAATTGGTTGATATAGGCCATTATATCAACCAACGAAGACGCGCCACGACAGACGCACGCAATGAGTGGTGAGCAGATAGTTGATACACACATTTGTATTTAGACATAGTAAGATGAAGATAAACAGGGGTTTTATTAACAGACATTAACTATTAAAAATACAGTTCTACTTTTTACTCTAATCAAGTACTCGCTTCTTCTTACCGTCTTCCTCTGCACGTACGAGTGTACGTGAAGTTACGCGGCACCGCCTTATTCTGTCATCGGAATAAGTAGCTTGTTCTGTCACCAGTACAAGCTTCAGGGTGCCTCGTTACAGTTGCCGCTTTCGGCTCTTTACATGCGGTAGCCTTCTTCGACTCGGTGTCGCTATCCGACTCTCCAGACTACAACAGCTCGATGTCGCAAAATATGAGGCCACGCGATGGATCATCGCATGAGTCCGTATCAGAAAAGGCAGTAGGAAAGTTATCACCTGCTGCTTTCATGGTCTTTGCCTCATACTTCGCAGCGGATCATGATTCAGTCCTTGCATTAACAGCAGCTTTGGTTTCACAGCGCATGGACTTGTCTACCGTTCCGGGAGAGGGAAAGAATGGTCGGTATTACAAAAATGAGTGCTTTCCCTATTCAGATTCACTCATAACATTCACCAATTCATCATTCATTTACTGACGTGACTGATGGTTTAGGAGGTGTGATGTAACGGGATGCCTCTGATACACGACAGTTTACACAAGCCATATATTAGGTACGAATGTGCTGTTAGAACAAACGGGACATCTTCACAAAATAAACTTGAAAACAGTATTGCATTACAAAAGATATACACTGCTCATTGGTTGACAAATATTGATGACATTAACTAAAAAAAGCCAAGCCAAGAAAGATAACGCAAAGAGTGGTGAGCAGATAGCTACAATACTTTTATATTTGGAAATGGTTAAACGAAGACTAAACAGAATTTAACATCAGGAGATGAACCACACTTAACACGGTTCTGATTGTAATTTTTCCGTAAGATTATATCTCTCAGCACGACGCGTGTACGTGAAGTCTCGTGACACCACCTTACTGTATGTCCAGTGTAAGTGGCTTGTACAGTGACAGTACAAGCGACCGATGTCCCGTTACAAAACACCGGATTGGGTACAGACAGGCAGAAAAACAGACAGATAAATTCCGTATAGAAGGTCAGCATTCAGCCTTGCATAACTTATACTACACTGTATTCAACAAGCAGCTTAACTATAGTGTTCGTTCGACACTGGCTCAAAATAGTGAATAATGGTTAAGTATATAGATTTTTTTTTCTTGGTGGGCACCAAAAATCTATAGTAATTCTTTAGATAAAGGTTTTAGTCGAAGCGCCAATCCGTAGTAACCGTTTTAGACAAAGGTTGTAGTCAAAACGCTATAAGGAAGGACGAGACTTCGATTTCGTAGACGACATACACCGGAAGCTTGAAGGACAAAGTTACAAAACCGGAGTATTACTTTACAAAAATCTTATCTACATAATGATTCCAAACTTTTTATATCCCCCTACTTTCAGGTCTGTCTTGGTGCAGTGTAAGAGAGCCACATGCCACGGGTAATCAGCATGGGTTCGAATTCTACAGGGTACCAATTGGGAAATGGGGTGTTTCACAAAATGCTTTAAACTATAGTGGCATGCGGTAAACACCTTAGGGTGCTGTAGTATGGGAGTAGTTGCTTGACCCTGGTTTAATAATTTACGTTCAATTCACAAGCTTGACGACCTTTAGTAGAAGGTGGCTGGGGTTAAATCTGTAACGGTTATAAGTGGGAGTGTAGATGGCTCTATTAACGGCAAGACCATATATCTTCAATGTGCCCATGTAACAAGTGAATCGGATCGCCGTAAGACGTGGACACGAAAAAAAACGAAATTGCAAACAACATGTCCAAGGGTGTAGTATTAGCAATGGACCGAAGGCGCGAAGCCCAAAAGAATGAAAGGCCATAGATCCGCAAGGGTAAAAGCCAGATCCTGAAGCCAAAGTCGACACGCCGAGTAAAAAAAAACCGAAGGGCCAGCCAAAATAAAGAAGCCAAAATAACAAGGCCCAAAGGTGCAGGGTAAAGGCGAAAGCCAGGGGTAAGAGTCTAACGACGAATGGTATGGCAAATTTCTACAGCCACTGGTCCAAAATGGGATCCTTTTGATGATTATTGTAACAGAAAAATGACCAAAATAGATGATATCGTGTCGGCATACAATCTTGTGCATAGTCACTAATGGCTACACCCTTCGTGCTCGCAATGAATTTTTAGGTTATTCACATGAAATGATTTTTGGTTAAAAATGCATAATTAACTGATTGAATCTGAAGGGTAGAATCGTTTATAGAAATGATTTTTGATTAAAAATGCATAATTAACTGATTGAATCTGAAGGGTAGAATCGTTTTACGTTTTTGATTGTTTATAACAAGCAGCCTCATGTCAAGTGTTTATGCCAGCTTTTTCAACCTCAACTCTTTTAACCTATAGTGGCAGAAATTTCTTCGATTAACTGATTTCATACAGTCGGTTTAACGAGCTCGTATGACAGCCAGATGCCAAATGTTTCAACTATTTATTGCGCTACAATACACAACCCAAGATATGTAAATTTATCTTTTCCAAACTAAAAACAGCATGAACCAATGTTTGCCCTTGGATCCTGTGTATGTTTTATTACATACAAAAATCGTAGCGGGTATCGTTTACAACTGCGTTTGAAGTCACCAGACAAGAATTTAGAAATCGACACCGGAATCCATGTCTTCTGTCTTATAATATATACAAAAAAGTGTACCAATGCTTAAGCAATTTAATTTAACTTCAAGAAAGACTGAGGTCCTGCCTTAAACGGTATCGAAAATAATGAATGTAAGGTAAACTGCGAAAACATGACGCATACGACGTAAAAGATCCACGAGAACAATCATAAAGACCAAGTACGATAAACATTTCACATGTAGTGTGTGACGTTCCAGTCCCTGCCGATATTTTAGTAATCGAAGAGTAATCCAAAGATCTTACATATTTAATAACCGCATCAAAGCATAACATCTACTTCTTAAATTTAGATCGTGTCGAGCATTAGCTGGTATATAGAAATCAGAAGGAAATTGGATGGTAATTAGACTTTGAATTTTGAAGCAATAGCATAAGACGAATTGCACGTTTGTGAAACATTTATAGCTCGGCTCAACAAGTGGTTGAGATGGAATCGGTTGCCTATTCCGTTTATAGATTCTTTCTGATACCAACGATTGCTCAGTCTGCCTAAATTCACGTTTACAGTCCAGTAATTCCAATAGCTATTATTTCACCTGTAGCTTACTCTAACCAGAAACTACCGAAGCTCAACATCCTCGCTACGATATTTGATATGTTTAGCATCAGCTGTCTTTAGAAAAGATATCCCATTCTTTATTCGGCATCATCTTTATCGTCCAAATCTTCAAAATAAGATAGTCTAAATAACAATACGAATTTTGTATCCAAGGAATTCCTGCAAAAAGATTGTAAGTAGGTGATCGGCTGATTCCACTAAAACTTAGAAAGGTGACATTGATCGCACTACCCAATTCTATACATTTGACCATTTTCGTACCCTTGATCGCAAAAACCCGGCAAAATGTAATCGAGATAAGCTGTTGATCTATGTTTGAATTAAAATAATTCCAGATATGAATGTGCACGTTTTGCATCAAGAGTCAGCAATTTATTCACACTGATAACCTCTCCAATTTTTTTGTTAATGCACAACTGTTGAGTCCTGGCTTCGAAAAAATTTCTCGCAAAAATTACCGATGTTTGGAAGTGCTTACCGCCAAACACGATATCCTAGAGGCTTCGTTCCCTCTCACATCTCTAAAATTAATGCACTGAATCATTATAAATCTTATCTACTTCAGTGATAATTGGAATCCTTTACGTTTTTCATCAAAGACACGTATCTATTCTGCATAGACCTACCACTTTTTACTCCTTAATGCACATTTAACCATGTGGGCAAATCCAGAGTGACTATAAAAATTAGCTGAAGGTCCACATTAGCTTAAAAAATGGTGCATGGCCAGGTTATGTACGTTTAACTATGATTTATTTCTTCATAATGCAATTTTGTATTTCACGAAGGACACGAGCTCGTCAAAATTATCAGTCGTACCATTATCAATACGTGTCTGATAATTAAATTGAAAGCTGTTATCTTTTAACATTTGCAATATTCGCTAGGGCACCAGTTGTTCCTCTAAAAAAATTTGAAAGCTCCAGAGAACCAGCATTTGAACAAGTAGGACTGTTTTTGTAAAAAAGATAAATCCAAGTATAGTACATATATGAGGGCTTGTAACGGCCACCGAATCATCTACAATCGCGACCGCAAATTGACCGCTGTGAAAAGGGTATTAGCGTAGGTAATAGGTCTTTGCTCTGCTAATTTTCCACGAATTAAAGCTCCCTTAAGTTGCTTACGAAAATCACGATTGAAGACATAACTTTTTTTAGCTGTTTTCATCCTAAAACTTTCACTGTAGGCAGTGCAACCAAATTTCGAACTGAAAAGATCATTTAAAACTTGAATACACCATAAGAGCGAATTGCGGTTCAAGCATGTCACAAAACCGGTCTCATATTAATCCACTTAAACAAAAAGTAAAAAGCTTCGAAGAATCATATATTTGAGCAGAGGAGTAACAGTCAGTCAGACGAAAATTTTAG